TATATACATATATATATATATAAAATGTATGTATATATACCCTTGCTATACATACATACATATATATATATATTATGTATGTATGTATGTATGTATGTATGTATGTATGCATGCATGTATGTATGTACATACACGCCACATATCATATCATATATATATGTATATATTTGTACTTGGTTCATCAGCCGTGGACCAGAATTTCCACGCCGAAGCCCTTCAACTCTGAACCCTAGATCACCCAAAACCCCATGAATCAGAGAAGCTTACACTCGGCTTGTCTGTTTTACTCCGAGCCCAGATTCCTGTACATCCTTAGTGCGTTCTCCCCATCCCTATAAAGAGTACCACAATGCTTGCTATAATAGGGCAAAGGGTTAACATAGCTGGAAGGGCTACTATGTGGGTTACTGCACGGGTCACCCCTAAGCCCTAAACTAACCACTCTAAAGCCCTTGACGTCGCCAGGTCTTGGACCCAGATCATAATGGTATCCTCACAGGCACTGAGCTTGGGATCCTCAGCAGAAGGATAGTACGGGGTGAGGTTTCCAGTCCTGTCTCTACAACTACGGGTTTTTTCTCCTGGGCATTTGCATGTTCGCTTTGTTAAACTCCGTAGACTCAATGTGATGTCTAGCCACTCTTCGATGCTTGCATTGCCAAGGATCGTGGTTCGGACATTGTCGATCAAGATGCTGCAAGTTCTTTGTTTGCAGATTGGTGTCAGGCTTTGCGCACACAGATGCCCCAGCCCTAAACCCGAGACTCCAAACCCGGGGTCAAAGATCTGCCCAGGTGCTACGTTTCTTGGAGACTGGCCTTTTCGCTTTGATGGCTATTGCGAAGCCGAAATCGCACAAGGCATCGTGCAATCGCCTGTGTTAGGCACACACATGCAGATCTACAACGTAATTATGCGTGCCTGCATGCGTGTATGTATGCATGTAGGCACGCATGCACGCATGCACCTATGTACGTATGGCGTACCTAGGTATTATGTATGTATGTATGCATGTATGTACGGTTGTATGTATGCATGTATGTATGTATGTATGTATGTATGTATGTATGTATGTAACTGTATGTATGTATGTATATATTTATGTATGTCTTTATTTATTTATGTATTTATGTGCGTATGTATGTGTTTGCTTGCATGCATGTGCGTGTGTTCCTATACGCACATGCAGGCGCACGGTGAATGTGTGTACAATCATCCGCAGCTCACGACAGGGAGGCACCCAGCTGCGTGCTCTACCAGAGTTCTGCCAGGGGTGGGGCTGCTGGAGGCGGCAAGCAGACCCAATGCCGCAGGTGTCGGCATTTTGGCCGAACACGCCCGCAACCCAAGACCCAAAGATGCGGGAGCAGCGAGACCGAGGACCCATCGAAGCGGGCCAACAAGGCACACCAGACAAGGGGCAGGGCTACTACGACAACAAGACGCTCAACTCCTCAGACGCCCTCGAAGCCCCTCGACGACCACCAGCTCCAAGTCAAAAGCCACACCAAAACAGGAGTCCGATGCAGCCTTTTGGGAAATCATGGACTTCGGAAAAGAAACCACGGGGCGCACAATTCGGAAGAAGGAAGAGAATCGACCCGAGAGTGGCCCGGCACCAGCCATTGCCCCTCAACCCTCGTCTTCCAGCAGGGGACCTACCACGGTGGAAGAGCAGACCATTCGCCACAACGCGATAGCCCAGGAGAAAGCCACGTATGACCAGATGAACACCAGGGGCCAGACCGGACATACTCAAGGGAACCTCGAGGTGCACGGCAGTTCCATGCCTGGAGACTTGGCCCGTAGCCAACAGAAAAGCTGGGTTCCGGTCCACCAGCACGGGGAACGACCAGACCTCCCGCCCTAAGCCACCTGTACTTACGCTTTCGCTCTAGGCATTGCAGAATAGACAGCAGAGAGACCACGCGATCCGTCGCCTTTGCTCAAACATGCACGCAACAGACACTTTTATGTTCTACTATCCAGCCAGCGCCAGCCTGTCTGCGAGCAACTGCAAACAAGCCGCAGCAGCAACCACAGCCGCCGCGGATTGCGCACCCAAGTGACCGCCAAGTCATTCCGGCCCAGAAGATGGTGGCTGTCATCTGCCCTACTGCTCGGAGGATTTCTCATCATTGCACACCCAGCACCGAGCCCTGGCCCACAACCACCTCAACAACCCTGACAAAGCCACCCTAACAACGGCAGCCGCCCCAACAAATTCGCCGAACTTTGTTCCGCCATGGCAACTTTTTCCGTGCGCACCACCCGACTCATTTGGCGTGGCAACAACCACAGCCACAGCCGCCCCCCAAACCCACCAAGCCAAGTCACAACCACCCCCCAACACAGATCCACCCACTCTTCGATGGATGAGACCTTCGGCGAAGCCAACCAACCACAATCCACAACTTGCTCCTGACACGGAAGCCCAAGACCCCGCCGGACCCAACCGACGCCCACTGGAGAGTGTCCGAGATGGCCGTCGCAGAGAGGGAGACAGACAGAAGGCACGACCAACCCATGCCATCCACAACCAGCACCAGCACCACCACCACCACCACCACCACCACCACCACCACCACCACCACCACCACCGGGGGATGGTTTCATGCACATCTTTGTATTTTAGCCGTTGAGGGATACACTGCACAAGTATGCCCAGACTTTCTTTCCGCGCGACGAGGGTGGTTCCCCTCGACTTGCAAGACTTTTATATTCGTGTCTGTGTCTGTGTCGAACACCAGACTTCTTCACGGCCTTACAGAGCAACTAGTAACTAGTAACTAGTCCCTCCGTTCGCGTTACCACCCCTTCGTTTGTGCTACCCATTCTTGACTTTGCATCTGTTCACGTGGGGATCCGGTGCCACGATTTTTTCTCACCGTCCAGATTTGGAAAAACCTGGAAAAACCTGTGGGTATGGCTCTGGCCTAGTCCTTCACAGCTTTTTTGTTTTTCATTCCCCTGTATCGGCAAAGGGTTTGCAGCCAAGAAACCAACTCGTCCCCTATGCCCGGGAGAGAGAGAGAGAGAGTTAGGTCCCTTACGCCCAGTGGAAGAAGGCCAAGGGCCTTTTGGCAATCTACACTCGTTGTTCACTCCCCTTATCCCGAGAAAACATCGGGTGGGCCTGGTGTCCGGGGGCATTGACCTGCCCCTATGCCCGGGAGAGCGAGAGAGAGAGAGAGAGAGGCCAAAGGGCTCAAGACGCTCCCTGTGCCTTGTGGAAGAAGAGAGCACAGGTCGATAGATAGATAATGAATCAGCCATTCGACAAAACACACGTGCATACATCATTATGTATGTATAGCTGTAAACAAACAAATGAATACGTGTACGTATATGTATATATACACATACAGATACATATTCGTATACGTATACATATGCATACACTGCACACCCACGCACTCTTAAAGTGTACGGCTTGATGCAACAAAGCCCGCGGTCAGGTAGTACAGTATGAAATCGCATCGTATATCATGGGCAAAAGAATGCCCTTGCAGTTTGTGCCCGCCTTGGCATTATTGTCCCTACGTGAAGCTTGTTGTTTTTTCTGCACAGTAAAAGTAACCTTTCCGTGTGTATTTGAAGATGTACGCACATGTGTGTAAGTAGAACGTGTATTCATGTAAGTCTCTTTCTATCTCTCTCCCGGCTCTCCTCCTTCTGCAAAAACGTAGTCTGTCTGTCCGTCGGTCTGTCTGTCTGTTTGTGTGTGTGTGTGCATCTGTGTTTATGTCTGTGTCTGTCTGCCTGTTTTTGTCTGTCTATCTGTGTCTGTCTGTAGGTGCGTGGACGTATGTACGATTATGTGCATATGTACATATGTACGTGTGCATGCATGTCAAATGTGCGTGCGCTAATGTATGTACACGCACAAAGGCACATGCATATGTCCACCTGCATTTGTAGAAGTACAGGACGATATCCACAAGAAAGTTTTTCGTCTAGTTTGTTGAAGCATTACCACGTAATTAATGCTATTCATCGATGTAGACATTGCATTTAAAGATAAGCTTCACTGTGTTCAGATCATGAGATTTACTTTGAAGAGCTCTTGCCCGCCTTCTTCCACTGTGCGGCCAGGCGGACAGCAACGATGCGCGGCACCGAGCAGAAAATCATCAGTGTTTAACGTGTAAGGTGCACTCCGGCCTGCCCCCCTATCGAAGCATTGGACCAAGGTTATAGACCAATATTGGAGGATCGATGCCTTGCCACGACGGCAGTGAAAATGTATGCGAAGTCAGATTCCTTTCTGCATCTGCAAGCTGCCAGGAATGTTGATCGTAAAGTGATGAAGCCCGTGATTATCAGCATTCTCTTGCCTGGGCCCCAGAAGCAGGCAACTTTCTCGGCCATGCGTCCTGAACTACCAGGCATGCCGTGATCCTCCTATACACGGTCTCTGGAGTTCTGCGGACATTGGGCTTAGCCCCGAGGTGAGGTCTGGTGCAAGTACCTTCATGCAGCACCGTCCCAAATGCTTTGCAGGAGCATCCTGGCACTGGGCGGGGTGAGCGGCCTCGCCTTTGGCCTGGCCGCGCAAAACCTGGTTGGAAATTTCATGTCAGGCAGCTCGAAGCATGTTATCTTTCACCCCCGCTGCACTCTGTGTCTCTCTGGCTGTCCGCTGCTGTCTCTCTGGCTGTCCGAATGCTAGACTAAAGCTGCATGTTTTAAATTGCGGTGTGCTCTGGGCGGATGACGCGCAGCAGTCGTTCCGTTGCATGACATGTCTCGAGAAGTGTGCAGGCCTTCTACTGGTTGTGCCAGCCCGAGCTTGCCTGGGCCCGCACTTTTTTTTTTTCCTACCGTTGGCGGTCCCCGGCGG